CATCTGCACAGCCCGCCGCCGAGTTTTGGCGTAGCCGCTGCTCGCTTCGTGGTCGAGCTTGTAGCATTGCTAATGGCACGCGTGTGTAAAACGGTGGGATATTTTGTTGTAATTACACCCGCACCCATTTTACAAGGGCATAAAGGATTTATCACACCAATACACCCTCCTCTCTAGCCCAGCCAGTCCACCTCGCACTCACCAATACACAACGAAATATGCTAGCACCATGCTCACATCCCTAGTCTAATCCCAAACAGAGCTAGATCCATAATTTAAGTTATATTTGGATAGACCCGGCTCCCGAAATTAATATATAGCCATAGAATACGAGCGGTTGAATAGCACATCAGCAAATCCACAGAACCTACGGTTAAATTGCACAGAAAATATCGGTATACCCGATAAGGGCCACTATCAAAAGCATTCTGGGGGTTGCACCTCCAGAACCCCGCAGACGAAAAACATGTTCTGGAGAGTGTTGCAGGTCCGTTTCGCTGGTAAGCTCGTCGCTGGGCCCGCCTACGCAAATACCAAGCGGCCCAGCTTCGCGGGCATCCGCTCGGATTTGCTTCGGCTATGCTCCAAACACCCGTTCACTACAGCCTTCTATTAAAAGCACCTTTTGCACAATCCGTGCTTTTATTCGGACTTGTCTGTGCAATTTTCTTTTCTTCCCATAAAATAGGATATTGAGATCGGCTCGTCCCATAATCAGTGCCGGCCCTTCCCATTATTGGATTTACGACTCCAACCAAGGCGTAAAAACACCGCACACCGGACATTTTCGTTGAAGCAGGACTAGACAGGATTTAAGTAAGTCAAGCAACTCTGAAGATGCATCGCGTTTCAATATGTTCGGCATATGGTGCAGCTTCGTTGGATTGGTACATCTTGAGCTTTGCTTTTGCCGTTGTGCCGTAAAGCAAAGTCGGTACACGTTCATCTCCTGCCATACTGTAGTACAGTATGAAAGGTGCTTCGTTGTGTTACATTAAGTTTATTTCTCTGTTGAGTCTACTTGTCAGACGAAATATTCGTTCATTTAAAATGAACGAGTCTTCTTTAAACCTTACTATGGTACTATCTGAATGCGTTCATCTTTCAAGCAATTTAAATAAGGTTTTACCGTTTTGGTATTAACTTTGGTACTTCCAGTCACTTGTTCAGTAAAGAATTCAGTTTTTGATGGCTTACTTTTTATGACATTTTTTATGCCCTAAACAAAATAACTCGACGTAGCGACGCGCACCTTTTATGGGTAACAATAACTCCACAATTACCGCGTTTTCCAATATATTTAATTATACAGTCGGTTGCAGCATGAGAAAAAGTTCAAGAAAGCACAATACTTTGCAAGTAATTATAAATTAAAGGTGTTCCAATGCAAATCATGTAGCAAATGTTTATCCTACAGAGTAATCTGTCAGCCATAAAAGCAATCAATGATCCCAGTGAATCAACTGAGTGAAGGCCGCTGAATATTTCTATTTTCGTTTGTATAAGAGTACAGGCAGGGTCATGCATGGTCCGAAAGGAGACGAGTTTACTGTCACCACAGATGTAGTAATAAGTTATATGATAGGAGGCGGTAGGAGTCCATCCACCCAATAAAAATATGACTCAAAATGAGGTAGGCAGCAAAACGACTCTGGTTCGGACAGTATGGTTCAATTTTCCATCGTAGCGTTGAGTCCTCGTGGCATGAGACAAAAATGAAAACCCGATCGTAAGATACACCACCATGTAAACACTTGGTATTTCTGGGGCCACAATCCGTGCACAGGTATAGGGATTTACGTTTGGCCTACGGTCCACACAGTTTACTTCTTTCGTAATCGTATCCTTTGTCTTGACTTTCGCATCTCAACGTCTCGAAACAAATCTCAAAGGTGAGCATCAAACGTTTGTGCAGTGAGCACCGCCACACAAACACGACAGTGCTTCCTTTCACTCGACAACTTGCAAGCCAGAGTTACAACCGCCATCCACTTCATCGATCCAGCATGCGAGTGCTACAGTTGATCGCTTTGATCGCGCTTGTGTCTAGCTGCGCCGCCTCAGTCCCCACCAGTTCCGGTCTTGTGAAGATCAGTTCGGGTGCTGAGGTTCTGTCTCGCGTGCTAGCTGGCGACCACAAGCAGACCAAGCGATCTCTGCGTCGGAACGATCCCGACGAGCTGGATGGACTTGATTCTACAAAAGAGGATAGGGCGACGACAGGAATGCTTGACGACTTCTTAGTGAAAGTGGGCGGCGTGCTGGATGACGCTGTGGGGAAGACCGACGACTTGGCGCTGAAGGCAGGACAGCAAGGAAAACCGTGGAGCAGACTGAAAGATTTAGTTGCGAAGAACAAGATTAAAGACCTGGCAGAACGCTCGCCTCTAGTGGAAAAGCTGTCTAAGTACGATTTTGCTCCAAAAGTAAGTCTCTCGACACTGCAGCAGCTGGACGACATCGAAAAAGTGAGGCTGGTGGATTTAAAGAAGGGTGTCAAGGGTACCAAGGAGACTCCCGATGGCATGCGAAGGGTGATCGAGCCCTTTGAAGGCATGAAAGTAGCCCCTAAGAAGTTTCTAGAATCCCATGTGGGGCGCGACGCTCAACGCTATGCCGACGACGGCAGTCGGTTGTTATCGGCTAATGTGGTTTGGCGTCTTAACGAGAAAGGAGAAAAGCAGATTCTTCTCATTTCGAGCTCCAACCCGAAGAAAGGAGACTTTTTGCTTCCCAAGGGCGGCTGGGACAAGGGCGAAGATATTAAGAAGGCGGCGTTGCGGGAGGTCATCGAAGAAGGAGGAGTACGTTAAGTTCTCTTTTCCTGTGTTCACTATTGGGAACCGCAAAGACTAACTAACTTGTGACTCTGTAGGTGAGTGGCCAACTCGCGCACGGTCTAGGCAAGGTGAAGTTCTCGGAAGACGGCAAAAAATACATTTATCAAGCGTTCATGGTGAGAAGCAGCACGGTCTATGACGATTGGGCCGAGAGCATTCGTTATCGCTTATGGGTACGTGATTTAACGGGCTCTATCGACACTCTTCGAGAACTAAGTGTTGAAACTGGGTTTATATTTCATTAGGTGTCGATGGATGACGCGATGGAAATTCTTAAGGATCGCCCTAGGATGGCCGAAGTGGTGAAAAGAGCCATGCACATGGATGCCAAAATCGCAGCTAAAGAACTGCCTGAGCTCAATCCCAAACTCTCCCAAGTTAAGCTGACTTGAACTAAGTAATACCTCGCGTGGGCCAAAGCAACAATAGCAGAGTCAACATAAAATGTATCGACTGTGTCGCCAATTCACTAAACTCGTTTTTTTTATTTTTAGTGTTCCGGATTCGTAGAGCCCAATAAATGACGGTTTTGTTGGCTCAATTAGATTAAAGAAAATGGACATTGGCAGTACTGTACCGTAAAAGCTACAAGTTTTTTTTATCTTAACATTAGTTACAGTGAGGCGATTACAAAATTGTGCGTTCTACTGCACTCAATACTGCCATGCTGGTGATTCGAAACCTTCGAGCTAAAAAAGGGATTCGTGTGACTCAATGGCTAAGTGGGCGAAGTCATGATATTTTATAACCAAAAAGGATAACCGGCTACTTGAGATTTTTGTTATTACCTTGGCTAAACCAAATGAAGATATTATAATCCTATTGGTGTACTAGTACAGTAAATTCTCGGGATTTTATATCCAGGCCCGATAACTGTAAGCTAAAAATGTTGCTTGTAAATGAGAGCACCCGTTTTTACAGCTGGATACAAACTACGTACTTGTGTGGATATCATAGCTTGGAATTACCTTGCACACATGACGAAAAAGGTATAGTGGTCACCAACAATACTACATTATAAATCGCGGTTATTGTGCGTAGAGTCCTAGCGCGGCAGCAGCACATTGCATAACTTAGGTGTAAACTCGGTATGTATCAAGGTGGTAGCGGGCAATCGGAGTAAAATACTGATGTTCCAACCAGAAGTGGCATAACGTTCTAGATGAAGATTTCTTATAGTTCAGTTGACTGTTTTATTGTCTATGCATTTTTAGAAGATGAATTATTTATTAACAACAATGATGTTGTTCC